ACTACTTACTCTGAGCCCTACAATTGCTGAAAGTTTCATGTGAAACTGCTTATGTCTTCTATAGGGATCGATATCAAGGCAAAACGTCTCCCACCCTATGCTCTCGTCATTCATCGAAATGGTTTAGACAAAAATTACGATGATATTTGTAATCAGCACTATGGACTTTATACTACTATATATATATATCTCACTAAAAAAAAAAAATGAGACAAAATATTGTTTAGGTAAACTGAGGAGGAGTACAGGTGCGAAAAATATTGATGTCAAGTCAAGATAAATAAGTATGCACATGTTGTAGCTCATCAGTGACTTGTTGTCGCTATGAGATTTTTTTTGAAAAATTTTTTGATGAGAAGAATAGCCTTATCAAATTTCGTGCTTTTTAATAAACTTTTCATGACTGTTAAAAATCAATCAATTTAAAAAGTTCCAATAATAATATATGTAATTGAAAAACGAAATGAGTTAAGTTAGTTATTTTTATATCTTCCATTCAAAAGAACGAATCAAGTTTCATTGTTCACCCTCTACGTATAGTTAATGATTGGACAAAAAAAAAGCAAATATCCATTGATTTTATTTTTGGAAGAAATGGAAAAAGTTTTTTGTCCCATAAATCGATACAATGTCGAATGATGATCCAGCAGTAATTCCCAAACAAGGTTATTTTCTATTATTTGTTGTTATTTATAATAATTATTAAAAATTTATTTAGGATGGTTAAAAGTCAAACTAAATTCTCAGGTTAAATGGCATCGTCGATATTGTATTATTGATTGGGACAAAGCTATTTTATTTATTGCATCTAAATTCGATGGACGTTATCAAGATCTGATGAAACTTTTACCGAATATTTTTATTAATGATTGTGAATCTTCAAATGATAATACAATTGAAATTAAAGTAGATAGTAAGAAATGAATTATGACTAAATAGAAGATAGTGTTTTTCTTTTCTTTTCTTTTTTTTTTAAGATGAAATAAATCTATTACAAGCTGAATCAAAAAAAGAATATGAATGTTGGTTGTTAGCATTGAAAAGAACTGCTTATAGTCGAATTGGTGGTGGTGAGTGATAGATTTGAGAAAAATCGATAAAATGTTGAAGAATTTTGGAATTTGTTTTATGTTTCGATCATCTTATTATATAAAAAGTAATATCAAAATTATAGTCATTACAGATATTTTAGAATATTTAAATAGTTGAAAGTATTCAACTCTATTTATTAAATATATTCGAAACAAACAATACTAGAAGCAAGTAAAATAATAGAATTTTTATCGATATTTACTTATCATATTTTATTACCAAATCATAATTATACAAAGCAAAATTTTATCTATCAAACTAAATTGTTCAAGTCCTTAATAAAAAATAGTATTAGCTAAAGTTTGATGGTAATTTAAGAGAAAAAAGTTGTTCAAATCGAAACTAAAAATTATAGTTAAATATTTTATAATTTTAAGCGAATTATTTTATAAATCATACTAATCAAAACAAAATTCATTAGAGATGAAAGAAAAAACAAGTACTATTCATCAACTAAATAAATCAAGAAACCAAATCAGACTTATTGGGGCTACCTGGAAAAAGTTACCGGGACTAAGCAAACTTAGTTCTGCACATCTTTATTGAAGACACCCTAGTGAAATCAACATATCGATTAGAGAAATTCATTCATACATCATTGTTAATCATTCTCACCATTAAAAATAAGTTTGTCCAAAATCTCTAATGATTTTTACTTTTGATAATTGTTTCTATCAAACTAACAATAGATCGATCAAATGAAATCTCCATCGAAGAATGCTTATAAAAATTTTTTTATCTCTTCTATCATTAACGATTAGAAAATTATTTTTCATTTAGGTATCTTTGGTCAATCATTAGAAGATACATGTAAATATTCTCTTGACAAAACATCTCTTGTACCTTTAATTGTTCGTCAATGTTGTGAATATCTACTTGACTATGGTTCAACATTTGTTGGTTTATTTCGGTAAAAATTTACAATTATAAGGTGATGGAAAAAAGTTTAACAACAACACATTTTTGATTTTTTTTTCTATAATATTAAGCACCTAGCTCAAGTCCACACATAGTAACGTTTAATAGTCAATGAAGTTTTCAAAAAAAAAAACTGAACACAGTAGTTGTCAAATCCCAGAAGACTTTGTCGGAGCGATTTTTTTCTAACAATGTCATTTCAGAATTTTATACTCTTTACAATAGTATCGCTAAAAAATAGCTTCAATAAAATCTTCTAGGATCTGAAAACTACCTTATCTAGTTTTTTAGAATCCTTGCCATCATTGCTTATCATTATAGAAAAAAAAAAAATTCAAAAATATATTTTTGTGTTAAACTTTTTTTCATCATCTTACATTCTCAACAAGATGTATTATCTTGTTGTAATTAGAATACCTGGAAAACAATCTTCAATAAAAGAATTACGTGATATGTATGATCGTGGTTTATCAATTAAATTAAATAATTCATATTCACCAGCAACAATATCTTCATTATTAAAAATTTATTTACAATCATTACCTGAACCAATAATTCCAATAAAAAATTTTGATGAATTTTTTGAATTAGGTTCACGTTTTAAATATAATCAAACAAATGATATTGATCATTTAAAAAAATTAATAGAAAAAACATTATCAAGTACAAATTATGCACTTTTAGCATATTTATGTTTATTTTTAAAAAAATTAACACAACATGCTCATGAAACAAAAATGGATACAGATAATTTAGCTGTAACATTTGGAAATAATCTTATTCGAACATCGGAAGAACTTGATCTTAATATGATTAAAGGACATAAGTAAAAATTTTTACTTCTTTTTTTTTTTTTAGTTTTAAAAAAGAAAAATTTTCTTTTGACTATTTCAGTTATAATCTACTACCATTAATTAAAGCATTCATCAATCATAGTGAATATCTTTTTCCAGTATGATTTTATTTTTAAAAATACAATCTTCTTTTTAATTTCATTTTTCTTTTTTTTTGTAAATTTAGATTAATTCAAATGAATCATGTAAACATCATAATCAATCAATTACAAAATCTAGTAGTTTTTCATCATTTTCTTCATTTTTATCATCTAATGAACAATTGATTAAGATCCATTCACGTTCATCATCAATGCCATCCATATATTGTACAAGATTTTCATTAATTGATAGTTCAAATTTAAATTATAGTAATCAATCAGATACTAATAATGTACATTATCATTCAAAATTAATTCTTGAAAAAAAAACAAGTAATACATACGATCAATTAGATAGTCAACAATCATTTACAACATGTTTTGAAACTGAATTTTCAATAAATCAAGAAAATAATGATAAGAATCAAATAAGTATTGTACAAAAACGATTTTCTAGTATTGATATAATAAAAGACGGACAAAGAACTCAACAACAATCAATAATATTAGAACAAAAACATAGATCAGGTAAGAATATAATCAAAATAAAATACTCGTAGCAGTCTAATCAATCAGACTGATATGAATCATTCTTTACTTTTCTGATTCTATAATATTGAAATCAACTTCTCGATTAGTCATATATACTCGTGACTTAAGGTCATGCTACACTTTTCAACATTTATTTTTATAAATTCTCTCTATTTCGCTGGTCATTGATCAGTGAGTAGAAAACTTCATAGGGCTAAAAAACTCTATATTAGTGTTGTAAACTCGTAAAGTATTCGTCAAATACATCAATATTATTAATTGGCTATATACTAAATCGACTTTTCAAGGTATATGCTTTCTGTTATCTTTTATATGTCTACGAAATATATAGTATAAATAGTAAGAGATACAAATAAATCTCTAATAAGTTACAATGCTAAATAATTACTCAATTTTGTTTCGATAATATAACTTAATGTGAAAGTGAATTACTAAGATGTATTGACTCTCTGATGATGAATATCATTTAATAAAATAGTCTAACATAGAGTTTTTTTTTGCAGAGATACGCTTCAACAATCAGTTAGTTAACTATTACATAACTTTCTTCTCTATCGATACATCTGAAATTCGACAAAATTATTTTTTCTTATCAAACTGCAACAATTGATTATCATTTATCCTGAAAATTAAAGCTTCAGTATAGATTCATTTTCTTTTGCATTGTTTCCAGTGTAGAAGTCGAGTAGGCAGCGCTCCTTGTAAGATTCAACTTATGATTATTACATCACGTACTATGTGTCTTTATTTCCAAAACTAGTCATATGCTCTCCGAGAGTTTTCAATTGTCTCTTCGCAAGAGAAAATCTCTATAAAATACTGATTGTTCTTTAAAAAGACTCATTTTCTATTATAAGTTCAAGTGATGACTTTCATTCTTTTCTAATTATATTCTTTACAATTTAGATATACCTTCTCAAATTCTATCAGCAAACAATGTAACATCATCTATTCGTAAAATACCAAAAAAAACTTTTGCTAATAAACTTGGCAAGTCATTATCAAATTTTAAATCCAATGTATCAAAAGCACTTAATCCACATATTTCTTCAAATGAAACTATTCAACATTTAAATACAATTGATTTATCATCTTCTCGAACAATTTATCAACATGACAAACGTAATATTTTTGATACAAATTTATTAAATGATTGTTTAAAATCTTTACAAAATGAAAATCATTTATTAAAAGAATTAATCAATAAAAAAGATATTTCATTTATTAATTTAACAAAAACATCTTATGAAGAACGTCTTAAATATGAAAGAGAAATTAATCAATTAAAACAAATAATTGAACAATTACAAATGGAAAATTTACAATTAAAAGCTCGATATCAATAAAATAGTTAAACAATTTTTACTGTCTTTCACAATTATTTTTCTTGTGATATTTGTATAGTGTGATAATTAATCATTCCTTTCATTTGTGCAATTTATTAACACTACTTTTTCATTCTGTCTTTCTTTTTTTTTTTTTAGATATACAAATTTTTTGAATTATGTCAATAACTGACAATATTAAAATTGATACAACTGATAATCAATCAGATGATACATATGCAACACCAATTAGTCCATTATCACCAAAAGAAAAATCACCAGTTTCAAATGAACAACAAGAACAACAACAACCAAAAGAACATTCTGTTAATGAAATGCAATCATTAATTCAATCATCAAATGATTTAACATTTCCATTAGAAGATTCATGGACATTTTGGTTTTTTAAAAATGATCGACAATGTGAATGGAAAGATAATTTAATTCAAGTAACAACTGTATCAACAGTTGAAAATTTTTGGTCTGTTTATAATCATTTACAAGTTGCTAGTCGACTTGGTCAAGGTTGTGATTATCTTCTTTTCAAAACACATATTGTATGTTTGGATTCTTTTACTAAATAATTTCTTTTAGTAGAAATTATGGCTTGAAAGTAGATATGCTCAAAAAAATTGTTATTCAGTTAGAAATACAATGTACTCTACTGTTTTTTTTTGTATAAAAATTTGATAGAAATATCATAGAGATCCGCAGTTTTCAGCGGTCAAGAAAGACGATCAAAGAAATTTAATTGGTCAGCTATTGTTCAATCACGCGGGTTCTTATTGGGGATTTTCGACAACGATATTCTGAAGCAATATTCCTTTCGATCTATGTAAGGCCAACATTCTTAGCTTATTTTATTCGAGAGTTCTAAGACTTTTTTGCAGCTAGGCAGAGATAATTTACCATGCTGAATTGAATGGTAATATTTGTTTTTAGCTTTAAAATGATCTGACTCTGTTATCGTTATATTTCTAAAATGCCAGAATTATTCTTCAGGTAATGACAGAAGCAGGATTTCGGAAATATTGAGATAACTGAATCAGATCCTTTCGAACCTAAAAATAAATATCCTCATTCCACTGAGTATGGTGAATTACTCTTGTCTAATTGCATTTCGGGATGATTACAGGTTAATTGGCTAAAATCAGAGGTCTTAGGAAAGATCTTATAACTCTCGAATGGAACAAGCTAGAAATATTGACTCTACATAAATCGAAAGGAAATTTCGATATAATTTGATGGCCTCGGATCTTCTCTCTTGAATGATGAAAACGCTAGGTGTTTATGATGTTCCTATCAAACGTTATTCAAAAAATAGTACAGAACATTATATTCTGAAACAAATAGTAGTGCTCACTCCACTCTTGTTAGGATGATGTGCACCATGTAGACCCTGATCAACTATGAATACTCTGAAAAGAGTTGGAATCCTGAGCTTATTACTGCGGAGATCGAACATACTAGACGGAGATATAGGGTCGTTTCTGCGCCTTTTTTTTTCATGAAAAAGTTGATTTGAGAATAATGTGAAACAATATACAGTTCGTGCTAATTCGATATCTTCTCGAATTCTTAAGTTTTAAAGATATTTTTAATACCGTCGTTCCCTAAAGAACACTAAAAAAAAAATGATTTTCAAATTTCGATCTGAAGCTTTCACAATAAACTATTCTCAAAGTTTCAAGTCTAAATTCGAAAATCATTTTTCTTAGTATGTTTGAGGGTGATTACAGCATTGTATTAAAAAAAACCATAAAGAAGCAATATCTCTCGCAGTAATAAGCTAAACACCCGAACACATGTCAGGATATTTATAACATATTAAGGTCTAAATTGACGTACATAGCTTTGACTTGTCAGTTGAAGGTTTTCTCTCATCAGATACGAAAACAACAAAAAAATACTATCCATTCAACCTCGAAATTATGATTGACGATCTTTGAATAGAAAGAAAATCAAAGGCGTCAATGTAACTAGATTATACATTCATAGTTTGATCTCAATGTTCAATTAAATAATTCGTTGTCCTTATTTAGCAACCAATGTGGGAAGATCGATACAATCGTACTGGTGGTCGATGGTCTTTAAATTTAAATAAAAGTCAACGAGCTACTGAACTTGATAAATATTGGCTTTTTACAGTTTGTTAAAAATGATTCATTTATTGATATTTTGTTCATCTATCTTTTTCTTTCTCAGTTACTTTCATTAATTGGTGATCAATATACAGATGATGCACAACATGTTAACGGTTGTGTTGTATCGATTCGAAGTAAAGGTGATCGAATAAGTTTATGGACAAAAGATTGGAGAAATGCTGAAATTACAAAACGAATTGGGTAAAGAAATTTTAGTTGAATTTTTTTAAAAATTTATTTATTAAATGTAGAAGTCGATTTCGTGAAGTAGCGGATATTCCTCGAAATTTACCATTAATTTTTGAAGTGAGTATAATATGATTAAATAAATAATAATTATAATTAATAATAAATAAATAAAATTTTTTAGAGTCATGAAGATCAAGAATCAAAACGTGGCGCAACATCAAAAATTCTTTTTCGAGCTTGAATGAGTATTAATTCTTCATATTTCTTTTTTCTCTTGAATTGCGTTTATATTAATTTATCTTTTGTGTTTGTGGACTTACAATAAACAAGAAAGACTTTTTCAATTCAATGAATGGGGGTTTTGGTTAAATGTGTGTTTGTAGTGTTATTTGCTATTTCTTTCTTCATTATTTTCATCTAAACTATTGGATCTGACTATTTGATTAATTAATGTTATTATTCGACATTGTTAAGTTTTCTTTTTCTTTTTTCTTTTGTGTTTTATTTAACGTAATTCATTTCAAAAAAAAAAAAAAAACAATATAGAAAGTAAATCTAACTAGATCATTTGTACGAAAGGCAATTTCTTTTGTACCATAGGAAAAACAAAAAAAAGAAATAAAGAAATAATTTTTTTCTGTTGTTTGTTATTTCCTCGTTGTTGTTATATTAAAATAAACTAATAAAATAAATCGAGAAATCACAAAACAGTAAGCAGATGCTATATAATTTCTGTATACTATGATGATAAAATACTTATTTATTTATTCTATTTGCAACGGTTGATTTTAACTTTATATCACAGGATATAATAAACACATATATCTAGTATGACATTGTTTTTTATTTGAAATACCAATTTCAAATATAGTAGAGGATAAACTTTTGTCAAAAGATTTACCGAACATTGAGGTAGGAATATGAATCAGCACGATAAAGCAGTATTAATTAAAATAACATTTGTATGCAAAGGTTATAGTTGCATCAATTATGTGTAATAGGTGGCTTAGATTAAAGAGTACAAAATTATTTTCTTTTTTTTTTTTTTTGTTGGGACACTTGGATATAATGTTAGAAATTCGTTCTCATTAATGAATAAAGAATTTCATCCTATCTCCTTCGACAATGATTTCAAGGCTTCTGCTGCTATCGTTTAGAAGAAAAAAGTTTGGAATTAAAATAGTAATATTTATGAACACCTTTTGGAAAATCGTGTTTTTGAAACGTACAGTTGCTGTATGAAACTTTCATTCTCATACTGTTGGATGTAGAATTTTATTCTGAACAAAATGGTATGACTGTTAAATTGAAGAGTAAGAACGATAAAGGTCTGTTGAATTAAAAGAAAGCAGCTTCATAATCCTATCGGAAAACGATTTCACACTTTTTACTTTACGACTTCTCTTCTAAAATCCTGAAGCACATGCGAAAAATTGCAAAAGGATATAGAGATTTTCATGGCATATTCGAAATTTTAGTGGAATCTTTTTGGAACGAAAATTTTTCTATCGACTGAACGGAGAACAGATTTCGGACATCTCCAAAAAAAAGAAAATGATTTTATTTCATTAAATTTGTACTAGCGGTTAGTTCTAATGAACAAAATTGAAGAGAATAAACGAAAATAACTGAGATCTGATATATTCTAGATTTGAAATGAATTTTCTTTTCTCGAATTATTCAAGTTTTGTTTATTGTTTAACTTAATCCTTCATATTTACATGGAATGAGTTTGTATCCAATTGACTATAAAACTTGAAGTTCATAAAAGTTTCTATATAAATAGATGAAAAAGTATGTTCGTAAGCTGTGGCCAAAAAGATAATCTTGTTTTTAATATTTCCAAATGATCTCGTGCTACTGTCAGTATGTCGTTCTTGCTAAAATGACTTGAATATGACTAAATGTAAATGCTACCAGACTGTCAAAAAGAGTAAGTTAGAAAATTTTCTCAAAAACTAACAAACTCATGAATTAGTTACGAATATGTGGAGTTTGATAGTGTTACATCAACAAATAGGGTTAATGACCTAATAGGTAGAAGACATGATGTAGTAGTATGGCTAAGTGTAGAAAAAAAAATAGAAAGACAATATATGATGGTGTTTGAAAAAATTCTATTTGACTGATTGTAACAAAATTGGATTTTATTTTTATTTTAACATATGTCGTCTTCGTGGATTTTTCAGTGGATATCGAAATGCAATTTTTATGCGCTAGTGAATTAATATTTCATCAAGTTGATTTATCCGATTAACAACTAGTATTAACTTATGTCCAATAAGTATAGGCATCAGAGCCACAAGAGTTGGAAAAGCCAAAGTCTATCCTAGATTCAGATTGCGTAGACAACGCTTTTCTACTTCCATCAGATTGATCAATTTGAACAATGCATCACATCTTTTGTACAAACGCCAATAGTTTTTGCCGCTTCCGACAACTAGTAATAACATTCTCTTAATCAAGCAGACTTAGAAAACGTTTTTGAGGATATACTGAATTTTCGAAGACTAAGGTTACATGCCCATTAAACATTTTCAATAGTGAAAAAGATCACAATACAAAATCTTTTTTTTGTATTGTGATAGATTTCTGCTTATCCGTTAAACTTTTTGTCCGGTAAAGTGGATCAGAATCTCTTCCGTCGAAAATTACGAATTTTTTTTCCGATCACCATCTCCATTACATGTTGTAAATAGAGAAGACACTAACTACATTTCATCTAATTAGCATTCAAAAACGCGGCTTCTCTCATTTTTAACTTCCAAATGAGAAGCTAATAAAAAATGTTGAGACTACTCGAGAATCAAGATATTCTACTACCTATAATTCTAGATGATAAAATATACTTATGAAGAATACAAATATTTGAGGTAAAATTTTCAATTCAATTGGATCGAGAAAAGTTCTAGTTTTTCCTAAAAAAAAAAGTTTCATTACAAGTAATTTTGATTGCAAAATTTTATAAATTTAATGATTCATGAACAGTAAATTGCTTTGTCTGAAATTATGTCTCTAATTGAAAGAAATGAGTTAAAAATTCATTATTTAGTTAAAGAAAGTCCAATTTGATAGATGCCGCTTATTATCAATTTCTATTTCAAAATTGAACAAAAATATTATTTTACTGATTATATTTCAAATGAGATATTTTCTTATAAATAAAATCACTTGTAATTTCATCGTCATATCATTAATAAGGTATATTAACATTTACAAATGGCAGTTTTTAACCAATCCAATATTTCATCGATTGCTCGTGCAGCACAACAGAACAACAATAAACTAAAACAAATATAGACATTCACACATCGATGAATATTTCTTTTTCTACAATTCATTGAACTACTATCTCATTTGTTTTGTTTTCACATATCATTTCATTATATCTTTTTGTTTTAGTTTATTCAATTAAAAAACCAAAAAAAAAAACCGATTATTTCTTTGAGAATGACTACAACTTCACGTGAAGAAGAAGCACAAAAGGTATAACATAATGTCTAAAGAATATATTAATATATTATAACTTCAATTAAATTAGATGCTTGGTCAGTTACAAATGAAAATGATTGATATACAAACATCATTAAAAAAATCTACAGGACAAATTGAAGGATTGAAACGTGAAATTCAACGTTCAAAATTAACTGATAAAGAAATTAATACACTTAAACCTGAAACACCAATGTTTAGTCCTGTTGGTCGAATGTATATTTTGTTTTTTTTTTTCAATTAAATTCATATTAATACGAAAATTATTTAGGTTTGTATTACATAGTAAAGCAGAAATTCGTGAACAAATTGAAAATAAAATAAAAACATGTGAAGATGATATTAAAAAACAAGAAGTATTTAAAAAAGAAACAGTTTAAAAAAAAAATTTTTTTTTGATTCTTTTCTTTAGACAACAAAAACATTTTTAGAAAAACAAATGCGTGACTGTGAAACACAATTTAAAGAAAGACTCGGAGGAACAGGAGGAAAAAAATCACGTTCATAGAATTTTTTTTTTCTTCTTTCATTTATTTAGTGTGTTTGATTTTTTTCATTTTTAATAACTTTGTGGTTTTATTTCTAGATGGCATCAAATGAATCATCTGATAATAAAAAATTAAGGTTGACTAAATATTTTCTTTTGTTCTACTGTCATCGAAAAAAAAAAATTTATACTTTTCTTTTAGTGATGGAACCATCTTTGGAATTGGAAATCCATTACTTGATATTATTGCTGAAGTTCCAGTGTCCTTTCTTGAATCGTATGTATAACAATAATAACCTAAACATTAATTTGAAATATGAAAATCAAAAAAATTCGTAACTATTAAATCTAAGACTTTCATTAGACATAGTATCGAAGTTTTGTATCTGAATAGAAAACTTTTATGAATTAAGTTGATTTTTGTCCTAAATGAAAATCTTACTTGTGCGTGGAAAAAATCATTATTTACAAATGATCTTTCTTCTCAAATAAGTTTCAGTTAATACAAACATCAATTTTCATTTTGAAAATGTTCGTATCTCTTTTACCGATATCCAGGTTTTCTCTTAGCTAGAATATACTTAGTAACCCCCCCCGCTTAGAATTAAAGGCCATGGCCTTCTATTCCAAACTAGTTGTTTTTTCGCACATCATAATAAATAAATATCGGAAAACCTGGATGTTTTCTAAGAAAGACACTTTTTTTCTTTTACTAGAAATATTAGTAATTTTAATTAAAAATCAAAAAAGAAAAGCATTCGATGAATTTACATATAAATCCTTACTAATAATTTTGATTATCTAAAATAGGAAATCTCATACTAAAAGTGCAATGCATACTTATGACTAATAATTCTTTTAGTTGATGGTATTGCACAAGAAAGAACAGCAGTTTTTAATGAGTATTAAATTCTACAGCAAGAAAATTATATTTTTCAATCTCGAATGTGATAGACACTTGTATCTAAAATAATGGTAAGTAAATAAAAAATACAATTCCTGCTTTCCCATTAATGATGATACATAACTATTAATTTTCTTTTTTTTCCACTATGGATTGCACTGATTGGCTAAACATAAAAGATATTGCTAGAACATTAGCATTTATAATAAAATTAGCTATATCATGTTTTACATTTTAATTATGCTGAAATAATTTTTCATTATTACTAAGCAATAGTGCTTTAACATTGATCAAAATATTTTACATATAAAATTTTCTTTTTAATTATTTAGATATAATTTAAAATCCAATGATGCTATTTTAGCAGGTGAAGCACATAAAGGATTGTAAGTGATTATTATTTTTTTCTTAATTTATTGATAATTTCTTGTTGAAAATTAATTAGAAACGAAAGTTTACTTCGTGATTATCCACATCATCAATTTGTTGCCGGTGGAGCAACACAAAATTCAATGCGAACTGCAACAGTAATTGTTTTTTTTTTATATCCTTTTCCATTTGTTTTTTCTAGTGGTTGCTTCAACAACCTCATGTTTGTGTTTATATGGGTTGTGTTGGTCAAGATAAATATCATCAATTATTACATGATGCAGCTAGTAAATCAGGTCTTTTACTATCCTATCAAATATGTGAGAATTCTGAAGAACGAATACAAACTGGTACCTGTGCTGTTCTTATCAATGGCAATAATCGGTAAAAAAATAAAAAAATAAAAAAAAATAATTATTTGTTCTTTTTTTTTAGATCATTAGTAGCAAATTTAGGTGCTGCTAATCATTTTACAATTGATCATTTAGATGATCCAAATAATAAACAATTAATGGAAAACGCAAAAATTTTTTATACAGCTGTAAATATTTCAATAATAAAAATTAATTATTCAATAAAAATAATTTTTATTTAGGGATTTTTTTATACTGTATGTCCAGCTGCTGTTATGCGTATATGTGAACATGCTGATAAAAATAATAAATTATTTTGTACGAATTTATCCGCACCATTTATTAGTGAATTTTTTGGTGATAAATTAATGAAAGCTATGCCATATGTTGATTATTTATTTGGTAATGATTCTGTAAGTTAAATATTTTTCTTTTTAAATAGAAAAATAAATAAAAATTAATTCTTTTGTTTAAGGAAGTAACAAGTTTTAATAAACATCAATTAAAATTAGATGTAAAAAAAAAATGATTTTATTTTTATTGAAAATTTCCTTCCTGTCTATATTAGACTGAAGATATAAAAGAAATAGTTAAAGCAATAAGTGAACTTCCGAAAAAAAATTCTCAACGTAAACGTGTTGTTATTATTACACAAGGATCTGAACCAACTATACTTGCTATTGGTATAGAAAGTTTTTTGTTTTTTTGAATTTAATTAATCAATGATAAATTTTTAATGTGTAGCTGGAGACAATATTAAAGAATTTCCAGTTAAAAAACCAATGGAGATTGTGGATACAAATGGCGCAGGTGATACATTTGTTGGAGGTATGAAACCCTAATTTTTTCTTTTTGTCTAGGGCAAATTTTGTAAGATCTGCAAAAAAGATCTCAGAATATAATGTTAAGAAAAATATCCAGGTTTGATTTTAGTTAGCACACGAAAAATTTCAGCTGGATCTATCGAAGCGTCTAAGAGAAAAAGGAGAGAAAACTTTAATTTTTCCGTTCAAAAATTGATTTTCAGACTATACAGTAACCACAAAAAAAAAGATACATTTGAATCAAACGATACATATATGTTGATTTACAATTACTGTTTTAACCACATTTGCAAAAGTTAAAAAAAAATAGTCGTGAACATTTGGTTCTTCAACTATATTATTTCTGTCGTAATCTAAAAGATCCTTGTGATTGCTGCATATCAATGCTGTTATATTTGTAGTTTGCAACGAACAATTCCAATTCCACAAAAAATTGATTTTACCCGTGTTAGTTAATAAGATATTATGACTATATTATTTATTTTTCATTCATTTATCCGTTACATTAAGGTTACACTTCCGCTCTCTTTTGACCATTTCTGATTCTTGCAGAGGGTATAACCGATCAGATTAAAATTTTTACTACAGATAGAGCACCTAGAATAAGGAGATATATGTTCGAGGAAAAAAATTTTCAAAAGAGTTTTCTAGAAGGTCGCACCTAGGTAAATTACGATCTCTATCAAATTTTATTCGATTTTTTATGAGAGAAATGCGTAAAGGTTCGGAGCCAAAACCCGAGTTTTGACTTTCAGAATCCTATATATCTACATGAAAAATGCAAAAACAAAAACGGTTTATTTGACCTCTGGTAGATACTCCGAAATATCTATAGTAAAAATTCCAGTCCCATCGGACAATTGCGCTAAGTAAAAAACAAAAAGAATTTTGAATACGATTACTATGAAAAAAAATTTTTAATTCAGTAAAATCGGTAAGAGTAAACTTAAGAGTCGAATGATGTCATGAATTGCACATGGTACTTGACGCTGTCATACCTTATACTCAGCTTGAAATCGAATTTTTGGTTAACAAAGAAGGAGAAGGAACTATCTTTAAGCTACTGCTCACTGTTTAAATTGTTTTATTTAGATGTTTGTTTAATTTTTATTATTCTCTAATAATTAGTTATATTATCGGAAAATATCTAGTCTTGATATATCTTCTCTAAGTAATTCGTCAAATATATAAAATACATAATCGAAAATAGACATTTTAAAAATTTTCCTAATTGTCTTGTTTTCTATAAAAATATATCGTATTCAATGTTTCGTTTGAGCATCTCATTTTGACTTACATGACTTCTTTGTATGCTTATCAAAACACTCTTCCGTTTCCTTTTACATGTTATTTTATTACTAGCATTAAAAAAAAATGACGTAGAAAAGTAGGTCAGATAGATGAGAAAGTGTAACAAGCATGGACAAGCTGTATAATTCAATAACTTGTCATGGGCGAGTGAGATGTATCTAGACTAGACATGTGCAGGTTCAAAAAACTTAGTTCGGCATATCTCTAGTCTGGACTTCTGCTATTCATGGTTCAAATATTAGATAAGATCTTTTGTTTTGAAAATATTTTTTTTAATGTTTAAAAAAAGAAATGTATGTATGCATGAATAAATGATGAAAGAAAATAGACAATAAAGTTTGTTTTAACATTTGCTATCAATCATAGAACACAGAATAAAATTGATTGAATGGGACGTATATTTCCTATTAGATTTAAGAATAACTTATACCTAGAGCTGTGTATGAACATCTTACCGTACAGCGTAGGAGAATATATGCAATAGAGCTTGCACATCAAACGTATTTGATTTTATCTTGTAGTTTAAGATGAGAAAAATCGACTTATTGAATTGTATGATCATCTTCTACGACATGTGTTCCGAATTGTTTTAGGTTTCCTTGCTTATTTGGCTCTTGATAAAACTCTTGAAGAAGCAATTCAAGCTGGTGCTTATTGTGCATATGAATGTATTCAACAATCAGGTTGCACATTTCCAGATAAACCTAATTTTGATCCAGCAAAATTTGTTTAAAAAGTATATGTGAATACTCAACAAAATAATTTCATTCTTACAAGAGTTTAAAAGAATAACATGAAAATCAAAAAAAAAAAAAGATTGTTTTTTTCTAAATTCCAGTTTAGAATGTTGAGTTAAGAATGATTTTAAAAAAAACTTTATTTTAGATTTTTCTTTTTCTTTTTTTATTAAATGAGAAATATTTTAATATGTAATATTATAAATTGAAAACAAAAAAAAAACCAGATTATTTAATATGGAAAATAACAGTAATAATAATCGAACATCATCTAATGTAAATTCATCTTCTACAACAAATTCAAGTACAACAACAATAAATTCAACTTCAATGGTATCTTCGTCAACATCAATACCATCATCATCATCAGCAGCAGCAGGCTCGACTTCAACGATTCGACAAAGTCATAAACGTACTTTTGCTGAATCAGATTCATCATCACGAACTGAACGACATTTATGTTCATTTTCTCATTTATGGATTATTAAGTAAGATGATATTTTCTAATGAAAAAGATGTCTACTTACAAATCAATGCTTTGAAATATAAATATCATGAAAAATTTGATAGAAGAAAGAATTAAATTTTGTAATACGAGATGATCTTTGAATTTAACTATTGAATAACAATTTACACGAACAGAAGGACAAGAAACAAATGAAATTCAATAGAATAATTTCGTTGTTTTCGATATAATTTGTAAATATTCACTATTTGGAAGTTATTCTTATATTCGAAATAACATTTTCAATTGTTGGATCATATTTCATTTTATTTCTCGATACTTGAATAGCTTGTACTAACAAGGAAACGTTATCAAATATCCAATCGTTTGAGACTGTTGCCATTTGATCGATCATGATCAGTAGTAAAAAAAGTCTGTTTTAGTTTGCTTTCCCGATCTTTGCTTGTTGAGTTATGAGCATTTTATTTGATTTTTACCCTAGCAGCATAGAATCATTGAATTTTAAACTGAAATTTTGTTCATAGATGGGTCTTACAGTTATTAGAAACACTCCAAAGTTTGGATTTGGTCAAATATATCCATATCGAGAAATCAACTTATCATAAAAAATGCCCGTCTTTTGAAACATATTCCAAAATCGGCTTTTCTTTTAAAATGCAAATATCTTAGCGAGAATATATTCATTCTGGTTCAAACTTTGGGTCTTTCTAGTGACTATAAGGCCTATCTATGCGTAACGTTTTAGCTCAAAACTCGATGATTCAGGGACTCTATGTTCATAGAGGCAAAATCAAGTAAAACGCTCATAACTCAACAGCGAAGATCGAAAAACCAATCTAAAACAGACTTTTTTACCTTTGATCATGATCGATCGAAGAGCAATAGTGTCAACTGAAAAGCGATTGTTCGTAGTGATATTCTTTCTACTTGTAGCCAAGATATAAAACTAAATGACATTCATAAAATTGATTTTTGGGTATCTAAACTTCATACTTCCGAACTAAAGTTCTATATCTGATTCCACATTATTCATGTTCTCGCCTATATCAAAAAGGTACTCAGCAGACCTCGAAATCGAACCACTTTTTTATGGCTCGGTTCGGCCCAAAGTGATCCGAACATTGTTTAGGCCCGCCCAGGGCGGCCCGTTTCGAGACCTGGTACGCAGTGAAAAAATTGAAAATAAACCATGTTGAATAATTTTCGAAACTACTATATATAAATATAAAATTCAATTTTTTGATCAAATATTTATTTTTCTTTTAGTTATCTATCATCATATATTGATGATTCAAATTTTACTTGTCTTCAATCGGAAATATTTTCACCTGTTAATACACCTTATTCAAATACACGTTGGAGTTTAAAATTATATCCACGTGGTTTAAATGAAAAACAACATACTAATAATAATATAGCAATATTTCTTAAATATGTTAGTGGTACAATGTCAACAATAAAAGCTAAAGCTGAATTTAGTGTTGTTAGTCGAAATAATGAACTTGTTATGTTACGTTCGACAAATTTTCATACATTTTCATCAGGAAATGATTGGGGTTACTCAGGTAAAGAGAAAATAAAAATAAAAATGAATTTTCAGAGAAATTTAATTTTGTTTTTTTTTTTGCTTCTTTAAAGAATTTCTTGATGGAAATTATTTGAATTCTCGTCGTAATGATCTTTTAACTGATGATCGTCTTCGTGTTTATGTTCGTGTAATATTAGTCGATGAAAAAGAAACTACAACAGGTGATATACTTCATTCATCTCATCACTATAATCATCATCACCATCATCATCATCATCATCATAATCATCACCATACATCTCCGATTTTACCTTCTCCATTACCTCCACATCCCATTCAAACACAACAACAACAACAACAAATAAATACTATTCAAAAAACTCAAGCATCAACTTCATCATCATTAGCATCATCGTCATCGACAACATCAATAATAAATTCTAATTCATCGAATGCATCATCAACATCTTCAACACCTGTATCTGGTTTATTTAATGATGATAAAGAACGTTTTAAATCATTAGAACTTTTATCAAATCAAATAAAAACACTTTTAGATGATGAACGTTTTACTGATGTACACATTCATGTTATACCAAAACAACAACAACAACAGTGTTTAAATGATGATCATCGAAAATCTAATCGACTTAAACGATCACTTATTAAACAACAACATCCATCATGTTCATCATGTCATTGTACATCAGAAAAAACAAAATCTATTTTAACAAATAATGAACGAATATTTGATCATCATGAACAGTCATCGTCAGGTAGAATTTAAAGAAAATATTAAAGATAAAATTTAATTCTGATATTTTGAGAATGAGAGAAGTTTTTATCTATGACTTACGAGAAAAGTTTCCAAACAGATTAATACCTTTTAAGTCGGGACTATACACGAAGATGCTCCATTTTGAAGTCAATGCCATGGTCTCCTGGAGAAACACAAGGAAAACTGATTTTCGAATTTCGACGTGAAACTTTATAAAGAGATAGATCTTCACAAGAGTAGTTTATTTTGAAAGTTTCATATCTTTTCGTTAGTTCTATCATAAGATACGTCTATGATAATAGCGTATCTTTTACATTGCTCATATACTCGATATTCTTCTTTCAAGATGAGGTATGTTCAGATTTCCAAAAAAGGAAATTACTCAAATTTCTGAAATTTCCATCAGCTCGATAACTATATAGCAGCGCAAATCAAAAGTTCTTAGACATATTGGAAATTTCAGAAATTTTAGAAATTTCTGTAATTTCAGAAATTTCTGTGAGTACATAATTGCGGAAATTTCAGAAATTTCGGAAATTACATCATTTTAGGAAGTAACGTGCAATTCAGAACACAAATGCTTGAAATCTCCGAAACTTCCGAAATTCCCTTTTTCGGAAGTCTGAACACTGCTGTTAAAGATTGGAACAAATTAAATGACCTGAAACTTTCTTTGTTAAGATCTGTCTCTTTACAAAGTTTCAAGTCATTAACCAAAAGTCAATCTTTTCCAATGATTCGGAAGGAGACTACAGTGTTGACGTAAAAGTATCGTAAAAAATGCAGTATCTTCGCTCCATTAAACTAAAAACTCGAATTTTTTCTCAGGATATTCATAGCTCATTAGGCTCTACAAAATGCATATAGTTCTGATTCAAATGCTATTAATCAGTTGAGAGATTTTCCTTGTGCGCTATCTCAGAAGAATGCTATATGCAAGCAGTAAGCAGTTATGTTTTCATCAAAATATTCATTTAATGGAGTATTAAAAGTCATTAGTACTGGTTTTTCATCATTTACATGTTAATGAAGCATCACAAGCAGTGTACTTCACTACAGGTTGTCTATTCTCTAGTCAAATGACTTGTAGTACAGACTAAAGTTTGTTAAATGAGTAATATACATTATATTATCGATAACATGATTTATAGACAAAAACTTTGACAAATTTTTATATTCAATCTCAGATTATCTTCAATGAATATCGACATCGAATATTCAACAGATTCGAACTTGATTGATCTCAATCAATTTTTGTTTTTTTTTTAGTTATTTCTAAAGATTCTGAATTAAATACTATCGCAAATGATTCTCGTTCATGTCAAATTTCCTTACCACGTCGAGCAACACGTTCAACAACATCATTATTATCACGTATGGCTCAAAGTTCATCTGAAACGAATCATTTCTCTTCCAATTATTCAATATCTTCTCATGAATCTTCATCAGACATATGTTCATCATCTTCCATATTATCATTAAATTCAAAACGTTGTTTATGTATATGTCATAATCAAGATAATAATGATCTAGATATAACATTCGATATTCAACAATCTCATATAAAATATTCTAATATAAAACCATTAGCTACATTTCATGCACATAAAGCTATATTAATAGCACGTTCATCATCATTTGCTAGTCAAATACATTTAAATAATCTCAATGGATTAAATCATAATTTAAAATCACCTCCAATTAATTTATATATTGATGATCTTGAACCATCAACTGTTCGAGCTATGCTTATTTATATATATACAGGTCGTTTACCAACATCAAATGATGATATATATAATAATTTAAATCCAATTGATTTATTTCGTGCTGCTGTTAAACATGATTTAAATGAATTACGTGATTTAGCTAAATCTTCTATGTTAGATGTATTAAAAATTGATAATTCAATTGAAATGCTTGAAGTTAGTGATCAAGCAAATGATATTTTACTTAAACAACAAATTTTAGCATTTATACGTTCAAATGCATCAACTATATCAAAAACAACTAATTGGTTAAATTTTACTAAAAATAATCCACATTTAATAATTGATGCATTTCGTTCACTTGTAACACCAACAATAACAAATACAACAATAACTAAACATAATAATAATAATAATAATAATAATAATAACAATAATAATAATAATTTAAATCATTATCATCATTCAACGTCCTTAACAACAAGTAAATATTCAAAATATGATTGATGAATAAA